ACAATATTCACCAAACCTGAGGCGAATAATTGTTTTAGTATAATTTCAGAGCTGAACAACAGAGAAATTTTTAAAATCATAACATTTTAGTGACATTTATTAACATTTTATTTTAATTAACATTTTATATAAACCGCATGGAGCAGTTTATATAGCGTCATATAAGGAACCGCTTGACCAATCAGATATCTAGAAACTCTTTGCTCAGCTCTGAAATTATACTAAATGCAGATAATTTGGATCTAAGAACTGAGTTTACAATGTAAATTGGCCAATGCATTAGCCCTCCATCAGAGTGAATGTGAATACTTATATTTTATCAGATGCTTTGTTGTGTAGTATCACTGAGTATTTTTACAAGTTGTGCTGTATTTGGACGTGCCCGAAAGGCAAGTCAAAATATAAAGTAAAAATACTCAGCAATACTACACAAAAAAACATCTAATAAGAGATTTATTTTCCAACACGCCAAATTGTAATTTCAGTGCAGTGAATTTTGCAGGTGTTTCTCGAGTACAAATATTGCGTGATATTTGTACTCGTCTTGCCCATTATTTACACTCTACAAAGCACAGTTGGATAATAAAGCCTACTATCACCCAACTTTGAGACACATCATCAACTTTTTGTTCAAGGTATTCCTTTGATGTAACAATTTCTCTCTTTTCTTTTCGCAGCTGATTATGGAGTACAGTTTCTTTACGTGTTGTTCTGGGGTGGTGCTGTTATGATGACACTGTACGTGGTGTTGTATTTTGGTAATGAATATGTTGATCAACCACGCCTGGTGCAAGTCCAAGCGAAGGACAAAAATGTTTGACTAGAAACATCAACAAGTTCACACCTTTACATCTTGGTGTAGATCATATATTATAGTTATTGTTAATGATTAATATCTTGGTGTATAATATATGAATTAAGGATTCATGAATCAAGGTAAAATTAGCAATACACACTTAACATCCTGCAAACTTGAGGAGGGTATTCAGTGTTCTCCAGATATTATTTTATTTGTAGCCATACGTAAAGAAAATGCTGGCCAGCAAAGGTTGAAGATTTAGTTGATACTGCACAAAATAGAGCAGGGTAGTGAACATAATTATTTTTCAGAGTAACATCACCAAATTTGAACAGTTACAATTATTGCAAATTTAGCCTCCTCCCCCCCCCCCCCAAAAAAAAAAAGACACACACAAACAAACAAATAAACTATGAGCCCCAGTTGCATTTGCCCAGGGTACCATCTATACAAATTAAAATTCCAAAATTGAACATGTCAGGCAGTGATTGTTCTCTCAAATTGTGCTCTAGAATACATAGTTGTAAAAGCTATTCTATCTTAGATTATGTTTTAAAGGAGACATACTTGGGGAAGAAGAAATTTCAGGAGCCATCATTGGTCCCCTGTTATCTTTTAAGAACTTTGTACTTTGTGACTTTCTTTCTGCTAAAGTGATATTTCTGCTAACCAATAAGAACTAGTTTTAACATGTTGATAAGATGGGAGCAATATGAACTAACAGTGTTCACTTGATTAAACAGATACATAATATAATAAATATATTTTAAGTGTCTATGGTATCTATTATTGTGGCCGTCTTTATGTAGACGAGAGATCATGGTTTCATGTAGTATCAAAAGAAAGTTCCAGTGCACAAGGTTGATTCTCAACAAAGGAGTGCATAATGAAGGTAAAATGAAGAGCTCTATGATTTTCTTTGTTAGCTCTTTCACTCCCAGTATCTGATAGCAGATTCTCTTAACTGGTGACCATACATTTCTTTATTAGTTATTGGTGAGAATTTTAAAACATAATCAAGACAATTTTCCTATGTAATGCTTTTGCTATTTGTTTGAAAGTGTATCAAGTTGTTTAGGAGACTGCATCAAATGATCATACCTTGTAGGGAAAGGGTTAAGAGCCCAATCGGTAGTCAAGTTACTGCCTCTTGTTGGTGCTACCATCAGTTCAGTACAAATGTCTCGCATTTGAATCTTGTTCATGCACAGGGACACCATTTCAATATTATTTTTAATAATTGTAAGATTATTTAAAGAAAGATACTTTTAATGGAGGTACAATAAATGAAGAGGTTGACAGTGTTAATTCCATTTGTATAGGTATTATTCTGCTGTCATGATATTTTTTATCATTTTCTATACACAAACAGGGAGTGAGTATGGTGCAGCAGTGAGAGCACTGGCCCCCCACCACTGCAGCCCGCATTCAATTCCCCTAATTAGCATCACAGGAGTGTTGAGTTTCTTGAGGGTTCTTGTCCTTGCTCTAAGGGTTTTTATCCAGGTCTTCTGGTTTTCCTCCCTCCACAAAAATAAACATTCCAAATTCTGATTTGTTTTGGAAACAGTGGACAGGAAGAGCTACCTGATGGAGTGTACACTGTTAAATTCCCATGATAATTTCCTATTTCCATTTTCATGGGTTAAATCTTCCACTTTCATGGGTTAAAAACTACTTTGCTATCACAAGTCATCTTGCTTTTTAATTTTTTTGTTTTTGTTTTTTTTTGGAGTCTCCTCCAACAAACTTAATCATACTTGTGAAGGTGTAGTCTGATCGTCCGGGTGAGTGTAGTCCTGAGAAGGACTGTTGTCGGTGGCAGTGACTGACGTTTCGACAACCTGTGC